TTTGGCTCATTTGGAAACGCATATTGATGGTCCACCATCGACAAGAAAGGATTGTTCTTTATGTAACGTTTAGTATATAAACATTGTCAGTTATAGATTGTAAATTATAATAATAAAAGATTTTAAAAAGTAGTTTTAATTTGAAAGAAAAAAGAATTTAACTTAAATGAATAAATGCTATGAGTATTGTCATGCATACATTGGGTTTGGTTGGTGTGACTTGGGTTGGGTACTGTTGGGTTGTAAATTGAGAAATTATTAAATTGAAAGAAAAATCAAGAAAAGGGAAGTAAAGAAAAAAGATGAAAAAAGCCAAAATTCACCCTCCCCCCTATTTCCGGGAAAAGTTGCCCCAGAAAAAAAGGTACCCCCACTCTAACTCCGCCCGTTACCCACTCCTCCTTTCCATGCCCCACTCCACGCCCCCCTTCACTACTTTACTATAAGAAAGCATCTCCCAGCCTTTGAAAGTCATTTCAGTGTTTGTCTTAACAATTTTTTTGGTAAGTACAACCTTATTTATTAATATGTCTATATAACGTTCATTTTCTCTCCATCACTGCAGCTCTTTCTACAACTTTGTCTTTTTTGGTGAGTAGAACTATATTTGTTTTGCATGTTTATATAATATTTAAAATTGTTTTTTCCCAGTTCTAGACATCCTTGCTGATTCAGCTTTCTCTTTTTTTTGCTGACGTGTTTTATTTGGTAAGTAACCTTTTTTACTTCCATGTTTATATAATACGTAATATATTCTTGCTTTGTATAACAACGTTTTTACAATAATTTTTTATCATTCATATCCTATCATTCAGCATCCACTGCAGTTAGATTTTAACGTGCAACTGTTCTTTTCATCAAGCGATGTAAATATGCATGATTTTTTATTAAAATAATAGTTATTTAACCAACAACTCTATTAATGAAGGCGATTAATTATCGAGATATTTTAACACGTGAGCGAGTGAAGCGAAGCGAACGCGTTAATTATTGAGATAATTAATCGCATTTTAATATACGAGTTAGTTACAATATTTTTCCGTTGACCGTCTTTTCAACAAAATAGAGAAAATCCATCGTTGAAAAATCTCCCAATTCTGTCACTGGCAAAATAACCTCACTTTTAATGTGTCATAATTTATTTTTGTAGTCTTACCGAATAGATATAGTGGTCGGTTGGGTCGGTATTACAAATTTCATTGGAGAATATTTATTAAATTGACTACTATTTAGTTCGGTCGGACTTTCTTAAAATCGTTTATTAATAGAAAATCGTTTATTAATATGTAGGTGTCATTAATGAATGATTTTGTATACATTTATAAATCATATAAATACACGGTCGACGGAAAAATAAATTAATTTATGAATATTTTTTATCAAGATGTCTAAAGACGGTTTTAGTCAAATTGATTTAAGTGCTCCGGGTTTCGTCAGCAGCCAGGAGTCATTCCTGTTAAACAGTTTTGACATAAACCTGTTGAACATATCGACTGTTGAGAAGGCGCTGGATCCAAACGTGCAGCCTAATGAGCTGCCGATGGATCCAAACGTGGAATCTAATGCGCAGCAAGATCCGTCGCTTCCGAACATCGCAGGTTCCACAAATGTCGACGATAAGAAAGTGACAAGTGAAAGACATTGGAAGAAGGCTGCAGGTTTGTGGTTATCGCCAGAAAAGTATAGAGAGCAAAGACAAGAAAGAAGGGAGGCATGTGCTCGTTCGCGGTGTAGCCAACGCAAGTGTGTGTCAGTTGAACCAGCAACCCCGTCGAAGGTTGAAATGACATACTCGAAAGTGGTTACCGACAACGAGTCCGATAAACTTGACGCCTCTCTTGCTTTAATGGCGGTATCACAACACAATACCGTAAACCGGAAATACCTTAAAGCTACTTAAGAAGGCTTCTTCTTCTAAAGCTTCGTTGGCTCCTGCTCCCGTTACTAACTCAAATATCCCTAATGTTATGTTATTGTTTTACATACACAAACAATATATATTTTATAATTTAAGTTGTTTATTACGTTTTTATTACATTCTGCGTGTGACTGTCAAACGGTTTTCTATCGAATGACGCTTGCCAGAAACCCCCTAACCGTCACCAATATGTTCTGGCAATCTATGCAACTTACATCACAACACCTAACACCGAAATTCCTTTGTTAAGCCCGAAACTACACATCTTAAGGGTGGACAATATTCCTGCTACTTCAGATATATCCGATGTGTCTGCCAGCCTTTTTTCAATCGCAAGGTGTACAGCAGTAGAAACTACCAAAGGGGTGATTTTAGTCGAAATTAATAGCTTATATCAAAATTTTTATAAAGACCTTCATGAAAAGGTTCGTCAATTGTAAACCTCTTTGAGAGAGCTTTCACAGTTTAGAGAAGGACTGGGTTGAGCTGTAACCCTTTAACAATATCGCATGACATCACCACAGCATCACCTCTGAAATTAAAAAGGCTGAATCTATTTTATCTAGTTTCACTACTAATAGCTTAAACTTCCCTTCTTAGCTAAAAGATGACCAACCCAACAATCACGTACAATTATATGGTGCGAGAGTGCAACTTGGGGCGGAAAGTTGCCTCGTTGGAGGTTAAATTAGAGGCATTGTTTAAATTTGTACGTTATATTTGTAATACTTTTTTCCAAGTCATTAATTTTATCTTCTTAGGTGCAGAGTCGGCAGTGGTGAGAGGAGAAGTGCATATGCAAAACATGCACATTTACCACTGCGCCACAGCAGTTAGTGCCCGACTCCGGCACCAGCAGCATCACCGCCTTATGAGCCAGAGAACCAACTACATCAAGAAGAGGAGGAGAAGGAGTGGTAACTACTCCTTCTTCTCTTTATATTATGTTATTAATTATGTTACTGGTTACTGGTTTATTATTATTATTATTTTATACTTATTTTACAGTTATTTTATAGTTATTGATAAATATAGTATGTATATAAAGTTACTTTTGCTATATTTTTATTCAGTCTTATCCTGTTAATGTTATAATTCATTTAGTGCTGAGAATCATGATCGACAAGAAACTAAAGTGTGTACTGCAACCGCTAACACTGCCAATACTAAATTTTAGTAAAGGTACAGCCGAAAAATACTTTACAAGACACAGTAATTTATTTGGTGGAAAATGTAAGCGAGGTTTAATTGTAGAACCCTCTGGTGTCGGAAAAACAAATGCTATGTTATCGCTTTTACTTGCACGTAATGGGCTGCGTTTCCTAAACTTGTACTTATACTTTAATTCGTTATACCAAAACAAGTACGATTTTTACTATAAATTTTCTAATATAAACGAGTTCATTCGACCGGAAGATGCGAAAGAATAATCGGTAGTCGTATTTGACGATAGTTCCTGTACAACTGTACAACTTTCGGTTTTCGAATAAAATATTCGGTCTCGGTTTTAGCTGGTACGTCAGAAATATCCGGCGAGTAGCGTTGTATCTTAGATATCAATTTTTCTTCTTTTGGAGATAAACTTCGTTTTGGAATGGATAGTAAAGGCGCAGTGTCAAGTTTTGCGACAATATTCTGTAAGGGCCTTGCGATGGGTGCATATGCGGTTTCCGACCGAATCCTTGACTCCTCTAAGTCTTCTATTAAAGAACGAATTTTGTCTCTCACGACTTCTCGTGCCGCGATAAGTTCTGCAGCTATCGTCTTGTTCATTGTATGATGTATGTGAAGTTACTACGAACTGTACAGCTGAAGTCGTTAGTTTTAAACTTCAATGAATTTATCAAAACCCTTACGGTAACGTCCCTTAGATACANTGGGGCTCGTCCATGGTAGAAGTCCCTGGTAATTGACTTTCTTGGTCTCTGAGGAAATCTAATTCTTTAAAATACCATAAACTTGGTTCATAAAGATTTTCGGTGCCTGTGCCACATCTATAGCTCGCCACTACTTTTTTTAATTCCCTCCGATACGCAGTACGCAAAACATTTATTTTCTTTCGCACCATCTCTCTATCGGCGCTAGAGAGATGGTGCGAAAGAAAATCGGCTTATACGCGACGTTCTTCTTGTTTCTATTTTTGTACACATCACTCTTCACTTTCCACACTTCTGGCAACTGGCGATATAGATTAATAAATTCGCTCCAAAAGTCTTTGTTGTTTATAAAGTTCGCCATTTTAAAATTATCAGTACTACTAGTGTGTAGCGTATGCGGAACTTGTCCAAACCTGCCCTTAACTGTACAACCTCTCGAGCCAGGACCCATATATGATGCAATAGTTGCACAACGTCATCCGTTGCGCAATTAATTTCAAACAATTTTGAATTTCTACAACTTGTTGCGCATCACGTTGAACAACACCATACACCATACAATTTTTGCACAACATCGCTTACATTTTCCACCAAATAAATTACTGTGTCTTGTAAAGTGTTCTTCGGTCGTACCTTTACTAAAATTTAGTATTGGCAATGTTAGCGGGTGCGGTAAACACTTTAGTTTCTTATCGATCATGATTCTTCCACTAAATGAATTATGACATTAACAGGATAAGACTGAATAAAAATATAGCAAATTAACTTTATATAGATACATAAAATATATCGAGTATTGAACTATAAAATAATAGCAATTTAACTTAATAATTAACTTAATAAATAAAAGAAGAGAAGGAGTAGTTACCACTCCTCCTCCTCTTCTTGATATCTTTGGTTTACTTCTTCGTAAGGACGTGGTGGTGCTACTGGTGCCGGAGTCGTTTCCGGAGTCGGTGAACTAACAGATGTACAACGGTTAATGTGCATGTTTTGCACATGCACTTCACCCCTCACCACTGCCGATTCTGACACACTCTGCAGCTGAGAAGATAAAATTAATGACATGGAAAAAAGTATTATAAGTATAACGTACCAACGTAAATATAGCTTCTAATTTTACCTCCAACGAGGCAACTTTCTGCTCCAATTCGCACAGTCTAACCATATGATTAACTCTCACGTTAGCAGTCATCTTTAATAAGTTTACGCTATTAGTAGTGAAACTAGATAAAATAGATTCAGCCTTTTTAATTTCACAGGTTAATGATGCTATGGTGATGTCGAGCGATATTGTTAAAGAATTGTTACAGCTCGACGCCAGCCCTTCTCTAAACTATGAAAGCTCTCTCAAAGAGGTTTGCAATTGACGAACCTTTTCATGAAGGTCTTTATAAAAATTTTGGTATAAACTATTAATTTCGGCTAAAATCACCCCTTTGGTAGTTTCTACTGCTGTACACGTTGCGTTTGAAAAAAGGCTGGCAGACACATCGGAAATATCTGAAGTAGCAGGAATATTGTCAACCCTTGAGATGTGTACTTTCGGGCTTAACGAAGGAATTTCGGTGTTAGGGATATTTGAGTTAGTAACGGAAGCAGGAGCCAATGAAGCTTTAGAAGAAGAAGAAGAAGCCTTAGTAGCTTTAAGATACTTTCGGTTTACGGTACTACAGTGTTGTGATACCGCCATTAAAGCAAGAGAGTCGTCGGATTTATCGGACTCGTTCTCGGTAACCACTTTCGACTGTGTCATTTCAACCTTCGACGGGGTCGCTTGTTCAACTGACACATACTTGCGTTGGCTACGTCGCGAACGAGCACGTGCCTCCCTTCTTTCCTCTCTATACTTTTCTGACGGTACCCACACACCTGCAGCCTTCTTCCAATGTTCACGGTTCCCCGAATTCCGACGAAGTGAAAGGCGTTTCACATTTTTATCGTCGACATTCGCGGAACCTGCGACGTTCAGAAGCGACGGATCTTGCTGCGCATTAGATTCCACGTTAGGATCCATCGGCTGCTCATTAGGCTGCACGTTTGGATCCAGCGCCTTCTCAACAGTCGATATGTTCAACAGGTTTATGTCAAAACTGTTTAACAGGAATAACTCCTGGCTGCTGGCGAAACCGGGAGCAGTTAAATCAATTTGACTAAAACCGTCTTGAGACATCTTGATAAAAAAAGATTCATACATTAATTTATTTTATTTTAATAAAAAATCATGTATACTTACATCGCTTGATGAAAAGAACGTTAAAATCTAATTGCAGTGGGTGCTGAATGATAGGATGTGAATGATAAAAAATTATTGTAGATATTATGATACAAACGTTCGAATAATAAAGTTATGCTTACCAACAAAAATTGAAATTTAAAATAGAAGGAGCTATAGGAATGAAAAAACCAGATTAGCAACAATATATGCAAAGAAAAAGAAGGCTATATTTACCAGAAAAAAGTCGCCGAGATTACGAAGTTACCAAAAACTGATCGAACTGATCAAACAAAAAAATCGAAGTGATCAGCAGTAAGGTCCTGTAGGAATTGAAAAAATAAAAATAGCAATTTAACATAACAAACAAATAAACAAGTTGTACTCACAAAAACACAAGTTGTACTCACAAAAACAAAGTAGAAAGAGCTGTTATGATGAAACAAAACAAGAATATTTTACATATTATATAAGCAAAGTAAAAAATAAAGTAAAATACTTTTATTTTTCTGTACTTTTATTAAAATGGATGTAATGTTATAAATTCTACCGGTTTCGGTCCTTTTATAAAACCATCTTCAGGAACCTTCAAATTTCCTATTATAAAATAACAACTACTATACTTAAAAATGTTAAAAATCAATTTAAAATTGTATTCATTGAATGTTGATAATAAATTGTCTTTTAGATTAAATACTAAATTTTATTACACTTACGTCAATTTAATTTTAAAGCTCTCTTGACAATTTGCATCTTGAAATCTCTATGAAGCGCTTTATTGAAAAGTGTCTATGTTATTATTAATAGTAAAATTGTGTATCAAGTCTAAACTAAAGAACAAGATGGAATTATGTGTACACGTGTTTGTTACCGTTATAGGTTAGAAAATCAGTTTTGAAGTTGCCTATATTATATTTTTAAATTTGAAATTTAACGGACCCAGAATGTTGCGATACAACTTGAGGAAAGAAAAAAAGGCACAAATAGGAAACAATAAGTTACATACAAACAATAACGATGACAAACAACAACACATTTTTCATGAAAGAATCACAAATTTAACAAGCATAAAATTCGATCAACAGGAATTGAAGATGCTTACTAAGGATCACAAATATGATTCTACAATCAAAACCAAACCTAAGAAGAACAGCTTTAGAATTGGAAGCCATGACGAAATACATGCCGAATGGAGAAAATATACAAAAGGAACTTCAACAGATATTAATCAAAGAAGAAAAAAGGGAAACAACAAAGAAAAAGGAGGAGATGAAAGAAAGAAGGCACAAATAGGAAACAATAAGTTACATACAAACAATAACGCTGACAAACAACAACACATTTTTCATGAAAGAATCACAAATTTAACAAACATAAAATTCGATCAACAGGAATTGAGGATGCTTACTAAAGATCACACATATGCTCTACAATCAAAACCAAACCTAAGAAAAAGGAGGAGATGAAAGAAAGAAGAGTCAGAGAAGAAGGCAAAATTATAAACAGCATAAGACATAAAATTAAACAACATAACCTGACAATCACTAAAGCTGACAAGAATGCTAGTATGGTTATAATGAAAAAACAAGAATACCTAGAGAAGACTGAACAATTTTTGAAGGAAAACGGTTTCACAATTTCCATAAAAAACCCTACTACAGCATTTCATAAAATAGCCAAAAAAGTCATAATGGATTCAAAATATACAATAGAAAAACATAATAAAAACCCAAAATCACTTTTGCCAATGAACCCGAAGACACCACGATTATATGCATTACCCAAATTACACAAACACAATATACCAATTCGTCCAATAATAGCATCAAACGACATCAGCACATATAAAACATCAAAGTTCCATATTAATATCTTTAAAGATATTACTGATTTTAAAGCAAAATATACATTAAACAACCGAGAAGAACTAATCAACATAATGAACAACACAGAACTTCCAGAGGAATTCACTATATCTTTTGATATCACTAATTTATATACAAGCGTACCCACCAACCAAACAATGGAAATTTAAAAAAACGTTTTGGACGAGAAAAAATAGAAAACAAAGATGACAGCAAAAACATTTACAATTTGTTCGACATATGCTTAAAACAAAATTTTTGCATGTTTAATAACCAATGCAATAGTTACAATAAAGGTCTCCCAATGGGATCGCCACTCAGTGGCTTGTTGGCAGATATCTTTTTGAATGAAATTGAGAATACCAAGATTATAAATAAAAGCAATCCATTTAGAGATAGTATAACTCTATGGCAACGATATGTTGACGACATTATTGTATTTGTTAACACAAAAAATAATAACAACATCATCGACAATCTGCACTCCTATTTAAACACATTACATAAGGACATACAGTTTACAGTAGAAATAGAAGAAGATAACAAAATCAATTTCTTGGACGTGACAATAGAAAGAACAAATGAAAAACTAAAATACAGTATACAGGGTGAGTCAGAAAGAATGGGAAATCCGAATACCGGAGACACTAGACATCAAAATATGACGATTTAACCTAACATGACTCAAATGTCGGTGGTTTTTAATACACAGCGTGTTGAAAGGTAAATTTTTATTTCGAAATTTCTTGATAATTTTGAACATTTTTGTATTATTAACATCAAATTTGGTAGTTAGATGGTTTGGAGCATGAGAAATACGAATTTGATATTTGTTTTGTGATTACTCGTAGAGGGCGCTAGATACACACTGTACGTTTAAGTTATCAAGACATGACTATTTTGTCAGTTGAGGTATGGTGAATTAGAACCAGAAATCTGAAGGAGTTTTCAATTCTGCACAGAAAAGGTACTCTTGCTTACATTGTCTAAGTCTACTGGTTTCCAAGTTATCTGCTTTTAATTGTTTCAAAGTAATTTTAAGGTTAACATTTAAAATCAATAACACAGTAACTATAGCAGTTAGTAACGATAATAATCGATAACAATAATAATTAATTAATAACAATAGAATATTGTGACCATATTCAAAAATCCAGTGGACTTAAATCTGGATTTCTCACTATTAAAAAACTCATTATGTCGTGGCATTTTCAAATTGGTAATAACTTTATTGTTGGTAAAAATGATTATTGCACACGGAAATTAGATCAATGTTGACAATTAACAGGCAATTGTCGAAACATAAGCGGAAAAATAACCCAACTTTGCTTATGTTAAAAAATAAATATTTTAGAAGAAAAAATACATTTAAACATTTAAAAGTAAATAATTCGAAAACCGATAGACTTATGTTAGACAATTTCAATAAGAGTACCTTTTTTATGTAAAAATGAATGCTCTTTGTGATTTGCAGCTCTTATTGGTCGTAGCTGTCGAGCCAAAAAACTTATGATTTGATTTATCAAACGAGCAGCGTGTATCTAGCGCCCTCTACTAGCAATAACAAAACAAGTTTCAAATTCGTATTTCTCATGCTCGAAAACATAAAACTACCAAATTTTATGTTAATAGTACAAAAACCTTCAAAATTATCAAGAAATTTCGAAATAAGAATTTAACATTCAACACCCTGTGTATTAAAAACCACCGACATTTGTATAAGAGATGTTACGTTAAATCATCATATTTTGGTGTCTAGTATCTCCAGTATTCGGATTTCCCATTCTTTCTGACTCACCCTGTATATAGAAAACCTACACAGACGGATGTAATCATTCCGCAAAATTCTCAACATGATCACACACAAAAAATGGCGGCATTCAGGGCTTAAATACACAGAGCCCTAAACACGAACCTAAACAAGATTGAATTGAACAAGGAAATTAACATTATAAAACAAATAGGTCGAAACAACGGATACAAAACAGAATTGATTGATAGAATGTTTGAAAAACAGAAGAATAAAAACATTCTTAATAGACAGACAACACTCAACATTCCACAAGAAAATAATAACAAAATATACAGGACATTGGAATATCAGGGTAATATAAATAATAAAATAAAAAGGATCCTCAAAAGATATAATATCACACTCATATCCAAAAGTAAGAACACCATTGGACAAATCCTTATAAACAATAAAGACAAAATAGACAAAATGGAAGATAATGGAGTATACAAATTAGAGTGCGGCACATGTGGTGCGGTCTACATTGGAGAAACTAGAAGATCATTGAAAACTAGAATTAAAGAACACAAAAATCAAAAAATCACAAAAAATTTCGGAAGACACCTTATCTTCAACGGAGACCACAAATTTGATGAAAGAGACAATTCCCAATTAATAGACCGAATAAATAAAAATAACTTAATTGAGACCTTGGAAAACTATGAAATTAATAAGTTTAAACATAACCATCCAGGACAGACATGTTTGAACGACCAAATAACACGTGTTTGTGGGGTGGTTAGGGTAGTTAACTCCAGCCACCTCTTAATGTCGTATAGGGTTTATTTTACTGCGTAAATCTTAATTTACAACTAATTAATGGTTTTCTTCAAAATATTGTTCAAAAGTGTTACAGTTTATCACATTATTCTTAAGGAAAGGGGTTATCTATCATACCCCGTAATTTTGCAGGGGATGATCAGAGGCAAATAAGAAAAAACACGTCATTAATATTTTTAAACGTACTATAAGGACACATAATATCGCCAAAATCGACAGGGTAGTTTTTAAAATATTCCAAAAAACTAGGGGTAGTTTACCCCCTGAGTCCCTCAGATATATGTGTGATATATCAATGGAAAGATCTTTGAAAATGAATATCAGTTTAAATTTACCACATTTCGATAGCTATTTTCGTTTTCAGCCTATAAGCGAATATATATATTTCGCCCCGATTTCCAACCCTTATAACTCGCCCCAGGGGCTTTATTAGCACGTATAAAAAAATACGTAAACCTTATTTTTGGCCATACTATCGCTGTACCAAATTTCAACAAAATCGGTGAGGGACAGTTCTGATACTTCCCTTGTTAGTGT